AGATTGTTGTCGAAATAAACTTACAAAAATGAAGTCCACATATAAATGGTTCTGTTTCGTACAAAAAAACATATTCCACCATGATTTCAAAAAAGTTCTTGCTTTTAAAATTAATGAGCGTGACATTCACTTTTCGATCTATGAATTAGAATATTTCTTTTTCTTCTGACCAAAATATTGTCAGAATATTTCTCATAAAGAAAAGGAACAATAAAGAGTTTTTGTTTTACTCGATTGTATATTCGCATTATTTACTACTAAAGTTCACAGTATGATCGATAAATTGAAATTCTTTACGTTATAAATGACAATATGAAATTTTCTACCTATAAGCAATTACAATATTAGTATTTATCAACAGGGAATAGATTGATAAACATAATAAAAGCTATTATTTGTTGGTTAATAAGACATGGGATGCTATCATAACATACAAATCCGACGAGATTTGTAAAGCTTTTCGTCTGATAATCCTCTAGAGTAAACTGAAAAAGAAATTATTATTCAATTTATGTCTGAATATCTATCTATCTATCTATCTATCTATCTATCTATCTATCTATCTATCTATCTATCTATCTATCTATCTATCTATCTATCTATCTATCTATCTATCTATCTATCTATCTATCTATCTATCTATCCATCCATCCATCCATCCATCCATCCATCCATCCATCCATCCATCCATCCATCCATCCATCCATCCATCCATCCATCCATCCATCCATCCATCCATCCATCCATCCATCTATCCATCTATCTATCTATCTATCTATCTATCTATCTATCTATCTATCTATCTATCTATCTATCGTTCGTTCGTTCGTTCGTTAGTTAGTTAGTTCATGATAATATCACTACTATGGGTTATTCAAATCGGCTTCCACAGAAACGAAAAAATACAAAACTTCAAGGAATCGATGGGAATCGACTTTCAGGACAATTCTGTTACGGCCACTAAAATCTAAGTTTCATTTTAGTTGAGTACGTATTTTCACGTGATATATTTAAGGCTCATAATACTAAATCATATCACATGGTAGACTTATGGAAACACATTAAAATTTAATAACATAAAATTTCCGATCGCAATGATCAAACACATATTTGCAAGTGTAGTCATCTACGTCGAGAAAGTCTCAATATAAAGATAACTATATGAACCTCGGATGCTGAAAGTCGTGGGTTCCAATCCTAACCTAGTCACAACAAAGACTTATACAGCTTCCTCTCATGGCTATCATGATTATGTGGTTAGTGTTAGGACTACTTGGCTTGATGTCATGATAATATGGCATAGTGGGATATCGTGCCACATAATGTCTAAGTGTTAGACATCGCTATAAATGGTCACAATACAAATACCGTAGCGTTGTGACTAAACAGTTGTTAAAGCTACGTTAAAAATCCAAATCACAAATCACAAAACTACTCACCAGGCAAATCAGCTAATTTTAGCTGTGAGTTTTCCAAGTTTAAGTCTGTAACAAAACTTCCATCAATAAAACTTTCTCTGTATTTCAGTTTAACATAGTTCAAAAATTGTTGAACACAGAATCAAGAGGGGTCATAGACATAAGCATAACGATAGAGATCTAAGTAATCATATACCATTTTTAGACGTTTTAAAACACAGTATATGTTAGCGTTTTGATCATATCTATTATGTGAATGACACATATTCGAAACTTTATTTTTTTTTATTCCATTGATAGACGGTCCAGGCCCTATGATGTGCGTGGCTCAAGGCAGCATTCGGGGAGTAGGTAGCAAGGGATGAGTGCGGTGCCCCAAGCAAACAAATTGCATTGTGGAAAAGCGTGAGGTCCAAGATGGTTGTCTCGTTTGCCATGCCAAGAAGCTGGGCCTGCAGATAGATACATTGAATATATGCAAATTGTATCGCCTAGCATAGTCAAATGTATGCACCCCCGCCCTTTCTCCTTTAATGCAACTCTTGCCATATCTGAGGTTTGTGTTGAATATCACACTGATTGATTAACGGTATCCATACTTATTGTTATGCACAAAGAAAACCCGATTTATTAATTTATAGTAAATTTAATTGTTCATTGGTGGAACCAACGTAAAGCTGATGTTTCCTATATGACCCATTGTAGGTTGAAGACAAATCTATATTTATCATACATATCATTTATTCAAGCATCTTTGCAGAAAATAAATAAAAAATTATGCAATGCGGAATTTGTTTACTCTACATCTGTATAAAAATTATAATTTAAATCCCGCATTATAACATTAGCGATGGTGTTTATAAGGTCAAGACTCTAAGAAGACTGAAGATTCCATCAATAAAACACTTCCTATTCACTTTTAAATAAGATAAAGTCTTTAAAGAGTTTTACTAAAAGTAGAGGTTTCGTTATCAACCAACCATGGCCACCCAAACATCTACGAGCTCTAGTAAATCTTCACGCATGTCTAAACTGAATTCTATATATGTTGATATCGTTAGTATTGTATCTTATTCTTTACGTTGCTTAAGTATAGCTATGTTCATTTCGTTCTACAGGAAGAAGAAGGAGGAAGTAATAATTTACTTAAAAGCTGACTTTGTAAAGAGTTATAAATTAGGTGACTCACAATATGAACATTGCCAATACGATTACAACGTCACCATGGCAACGTGCGATAAGATTCTTTTCTTACAATTACATTCACGCTGACAGTATAACAGCATTTCAATATATGCAGTCATTTGTCTTACAATTATATAGACAGTTTTAATGCCGTGCAACATCTGCAATCATTTATCAAGCTATTGTTCTTATAATTACAGAATCAGTGTCAGCCAGTGCAACATTTGTAATCATTTATATTTAGTTTCCTTCACAGTTCAGTGAAGTGTTTTAGCAATATAAACAATTATTGGATCTGTTTCAAGCTAACTATACACTTTAAGTATTTTATCATGACATCTTTTTTGCAAAAGAAAATGTCTTTTAACATAGTGACTTAACATTTACCAGAACATGATGCTCAGCAGTTATATATGATTCGACCTTTGTGAGGCTTAAAAGTAATCTCAAGGGATCGTGACGAAGTTAAAACCACATTATTCTTTTGCCATTGATCTCTGCTGTTTTACTAGAATTACGATGAATTTTCAATTAACTTAAAATTCAAAATCTCCTTATGTTTATTATCTAACGGATTGTGGACCCTAGACTAAATTCTAAACACACTCGACATAGTTTTGACGCGGTAACCCCAATAATATTCATATAGCGTTTCGCATTGTTATGCTTGAAACCATTCAATCAACTGAACAATTACTGTTATTTCCGAAAAATTCAATAAATATTGTCGAATAAGCTTGCAAATCTTTGCACGATCATGTTTATTTTTATCATGAGCGACTCATTTCATACCACAGCAAAAATATGTCTGATGCTAAAAGTTATATTTGTATTATAATGCTATATGCCTTTCTAGCAGACATAGTCGAATGTATAATGCAAGGGATGGATCTCCGAAAGAGAAAGCTAGATATTAGAAGTAAACGGACGTGTAAATTATATCTTATGTTTATTTACGTCATCACCACCTACCGAACGAGAAACAGCTGTTTGAATTCACTTGTGCATTTGATGTATTCTATAATCTATACATAAAATATCGAAGATAAAACAACAATTTATCTATAGGATGTATAGGTATATGTTACAAGGAAAACATTAATTATTTCGTAAAATGGTTTTAAAAGGTGTCTGAAAGAAGAAATGCATGGTATACAATGTATTGCTATAGCATTAATTGTTTATAATTCTACACATATAATTATATAATTCGAAGATATAGCGCAGTACATATTTGTAGATTTCGTTGATTTTGTTTCAAAATTTTGCCTTTTTCACTACCTTAACCGTAGTTTTCACTGACCATCAAGATGGACAACGTGTCAATAGTAAATCTTGGAAATTCTTCGATTTCCTCTTTATATGTTCCTTACACGCCCCTTTTAAACATTGAATACCTGTGGGATCTGTAAAGGTAAGTGATGCATTCAGATATGATAACTCACAGACGGAGCAAAAGTTTTAAACATCTAGGCCAGAATATAATCCATACACCGATATAATACATGATTTTCATCAATTAATTGTTATCTCTTTCTTGCTTGCGACGGAGAGGACAGACCCACCGTGACCTAGAGCATGTAATCTTTGTGATAAACTTCCTGCAGAGGATTATTAATAAATTGAGAAAGGTTATCAGTTAACAACGGATACAAGCATTGGTATTGTAATATTTACGTTGCTTGTATGTAGCTGATTATTGTGAGTTGTATGATATTAATGTGTTTAAACTAGGCTTTCGAAAGTTATACCTTGCGAATGTTTCTGGAAGTAAACAGGATGGGTTGCATTTGTAAAAATTGAACTCTCTAACAAATCCTTGTATCTGAATGGATCTCTTGTTCATGAAAAACTCCAAGAAAGTTTTTTTCCATGACAAAATACGCAAACGTAACGTGCAATACATTTAAATCAAAAGATATGGTGAAACGGCGATTATTCTTCCTAATTTTAACAATCTGCTTTTTCTTTGTATATATATATATATATATATATATATATATATATAGATATATATATATATATATATATATATATATATATATATATATATATATATGTATATATGGACACGTCTTCCATTTTCATGAATATCATCATGTGTATTGGCCATACTTTAAAAATTGTGTTTCGACGACAGAATCTTGTACGTGCGATAAAGACTTTCACCCCCTAAACAACCTCATTTTTTTCTAATTTCATCTTTCTTAATTATTTTAGATCAACTAGGTAAAATGTTATATATTCTTTTTGTTTTAAAAGGTGTGCTTGAGTCTTTTACTTGAGCTCACATATTCAAATAAATAAAGTTTAAATAGTGTGCAGATAATTGAACATATAACTAAACATCGGTCTTTCCATGAATAATTAGTTTATTTCTTACTACTTTATTACACCGCTCCTGTGGCCTAGTCGTTAGAGCATCCGCCTCGGATGCGGGAGGTCGTGGGTTCGCCGAGTCAAACCAAAGACTTACAAAAATGGTACTAACACTTTACTCGCTTAGCGTTCAGCATTAAGATGTTAGTGTTAGGACTGATCGGAGTGGTGTCAGGATAATGTGACTGTGTGGAACTTCATGCTATATGTCTGTGGCACAATGCTCCAGTGGTAACATCACTAGAAACTGCCACACGGACTACATCGTTGCGATATGACTGAACAATTGTTAAAGATACGTTAAATGTCCAAATAACACACTCACACACTTTGTTATTACTTTTTCCAAATATTTCTCACTTTCTTGGCCCTTTGCATTTATTTTGTTCATACCTGTATAACCCCTCCCATTCAATCATTTAGCTCCGCCCACTGCATCTTCATTGCATGGTGCATAAAATACTTGCAACCTTCAACCTTTAATCATGTGTATGTGTTTAGATTTTTATAGGAGTTTTTATAATTTTCAGTCGTGTCGGTACGGTATAGACCGTGTGGCAGCTTAGAATGATGTAAAACACCGGGGTATCATGCAGCAGCCATGTAGCATAATGTCCCACCCATTAATATTATTCTGACGCCAGTCCTAACACCAAAATTTTAATGCTGTGCGCCACGCGAGGCAGCTCCTAGTCTGGTCTTGTTGCCAACTTGTGATTAATTCCGATGGCCAGGTGAAGTGTTTTTATTTTTAATATTTTTTGAAGTGCCACCACCTAAAGTTGTCGGGCCTGATAGTCTTTATTTGTGATCTTCTTACAGCGACTAATGTATAATGTGAGAAGTTGTTTCTTATTCTTATCATGTAATTATCATATAATGCATGTGCTTATTTCTATTAGTTACTTTTAAGGGATTTGTTGGCAACCATAAGCTACCATCTTGCGCAATAGGGTACTGATTGTCTGCCCTTAGGACTATCTTATATTACTAATGTTACGATCGGATCAGATTAATATATAGTGCCACTAGGTTGTTTAGTTTTCCAATTTCTGTGAGCATTTTTGACTGGACCTAATGGTCTGTGTTAAGGTTAATAATATAATATTACTTTCGTTTGAGGGTCAAAATATAAATTTTAGTGTTGCTCCTTGGGCATCGTACTGAGGTCCATCACTAGGAGGAGATAGAAAATAGAAGGGTAGGGTGTATTTTTCATGGAAGGATTTGCATGACACATTATTATAGATTAGCGGTGTTGCTTAGTGTAGTATTAGTGCAAAAGGTTGTCAACTATGTTACTTGGTGTTTATATGATTATTTGTTCATTCATTCACTCACACATGGACTCATTAATTCAATACAATATATTTCGATAAAAATGTCATGAGTACTCGTTTACTTTTAACTACGACAACTAATGCACGATTACGAGAGTATGATGTTTAGGCTGATTTTTAATACCTTTGTGTATTTATTTGGAAAGAAGATGATGAAAATAGTTTAGTCAGACCCGAATTTCAGCATAGACCGTTTGGAATTATTAGTGAAATTATATGGCGCCATCCATTCCACATGTTACCATGACCTGACTTTGCTTATTATTTTTCAGATTGAACCATTCATTAAGTTCCAATCAATAAAAAAGAGATGGGGAGAGGTTTCTTTTGAGCCAGAATATTGTATTTGCTGTCTTTGGTTGACAGTAAATATTGCTGGTCATATATGTAACTGAGCATAGCATTTTGTCAATTGTTTTAAATAATAGACCAGCATTTTTGTTCATAAAAAGCGCCCACCCAATCATCCTCAGCCCATCCCTATTTAATCTGCCGTTGCCTTCGATCCGGAGTTAAACAATACAACATAGCCTTACACCCAGTGATAATTGAAATATCCCCAAAAAGCTACAAGCATATATTACATCAATAAACATCAGAGAGAGAGAGAGAGAGAGAGAGAGAGAGAGAGAGAGAGAGAGAGAGAGAGAGAGAGAGAGAGAGAGAGAGAGAGAGAGAGAGAGAGAGAGAGAGTCAATATAATTTGTTCTAAACCAATCTTTGGCAACATGTTATGGATATTGGTGTTTATTTGATTATGATATACTTAGTCTTTGTTTTCCTCTTTGTTCAGTTAATTGTAGTAGAATCGTTGATATGGTTGTGTTCCCTATGTAAAATACTAGATTTACCAGTAGAAAGCCCTCTAATGAACAATTGACATATTTTAATGTGAGCCACGCCTCCTACCACCCTTTATCCCTATCAGATACATAATATTTTTAACTTGACCAGGAAGTTTTAATTGTAGGAGAAACGTTATAAGTTATCACCGGATATCTTGAAGATTCTCAATGATCCCTTGTTTATTTTAACTTGGTCCCCTGTATAGGGTCATTAAGACATGAATCAAAATTATCAGTTCAAACAAGGCTACGAGTGTAATTATAGTATCATTTTGTTTTGTGACAACGGGATATGCTGGGTTTTTTTTCAGGTTTCAAGCTACAAAAAGCTCTTATCTTACATAATCGTCCATTTAGAATTGAATCTGTCGTAATTTATTTATAAAATACCTGACAGTTGCAAATACGTGAAAATTAATGCTCACGAACTTGCAAACCCTTAATTTGCTCTGCCTGCTAACAACGCATCGAACAATACAATAAAGTCGGGAAAATCCCATTGACCTTACATACATAAAAAATGTATATAACAAAATTGCAGTTTTTATGCACTTGTGCTAGAGGATGGTAAAGACAGGCAAAAGAAAGTAAAGAAAATAAAAATAAAAGGGAGAACACATACATACAAACACAATGAGAAGAGAAGAAGAAAGTAATAATTACAAAGAAAGAAAGAAAGAAAGAAAGAAAGAAAGTAAGAAAGAAGAGATATAACTTGCATATGAAAACATATAACAGTTTAAAAAATAATGTCGGTATAGCTGGTGAAAAATAGAAATGTGAAAAACAACCATAAAACGTAACAAACAAATTACAAGCTAAACGAAATACGCACAAGCGTTTGTCTTCAGGTACATATTAAAAATTTTGACAGACAAATGCAAAGACAGACATAGAGAGACAGACAAGAAGAAAAACAATAATTTATATATTATTGCATGTACTTAGGTTCATACAATTTCGTGTTATCTTAATAGACAGATAGCTTTATGTAGCGTCAAATTTATAAAACTTATCTGTGTATCTCTCATAGATAGATTGAATAATGCAACTTGTAATATATATATATATATATATATATATATATATATATATATATATATATATATATATATATATATATATATATATATATATATATATAAACATATACAGTTTGATAAATGGACATCAGTATAAATCGACCAGCTAACTGACAATATGTTTTGTAAACATTTGGATGCCATTTTGGAAACACAAATGAACCATTGCAAAACTTTGCCATTACAAATTAGACCACTTTTCTGAAAAGATTCAATCTACAGCTAACTCCACGTTCAAAGTCCTCCCACCTTAATTTTGGTACCCCAGATTCCCAACAGTGATCCAATAACCCACGGCACCGAAATATATATATATATATATATATATATATATATATATATATATATATATATATATATATATATATATATATATATATATATATATATATATATATATATATATTTTAAATGTATATTGCTTTCGGAAAATCCAAATGCAAATAGGATATCTCGTGAATTTCTATCCAACTGCTTGGGACATGCAATAAGGAACATATGGATAGTACCAGGATACCACACTATATCGTTTTATAATCTGATCGATATATTTTGAGACGAAACATTTGCTGAGATTATTTACAGGAATTACTAAAAGGGCACCTGTCTTTACTAAACCATTTCGCATTTATATGTATTACTTCAGCGGCGTTACGGACAAAACCATCGTCCTTCACCAAGGACATTTGGCACTTTTGCACATTGAAAGCTATTGATATACCAGCAGGTTTAGGACCTAGAACTCATTCGGTTGGCACACTCGATTATTTTGGGCTTGTGTATAACCTTGAGGGATATTGTTTTAATCTATTCACAATATTAGTAGTTCCTCTTAAAGTTTTTATATATAACTTTGAAATTACTTTATTTGTTACGCTGTACGCAGCATTTTGGGTTTGATTCTTTCCGCTACTTAATTTAAAATAATTTGTCATAATATAATTTCGATGCCCGTACTGCATACGAATTTCACAAAAATATTTCAGAGATATTAAAATTGCTTCTGAAATTTCACGTAACGTTTCTTCAGAAGTTTTTTACATCCTGGCATTTTGATTTCAGTTAATGAAACCAAAAAGATCTCATACTGACAATTAATGTGATGGGCATTGTGTATAATCCAACTTTGAAGGGTTATAATTATTATAAATGGAATTACAGCTAGAAGGATATATAATTGTAGTATGGAAACTGTTGATTCACATGGCATTGATGGAAGTGCAGAGTAATAGAGCAGAGAGAGAGACATGCAGTTTAAAAAAGAGAAAGAAGAAAAATGTCAACACAAACTCAGAGAGAAAAGAGAGAGAGAGAGAGAGAGAGAGAGAGAGAGAGAGAGAGAGAGAAAAAGATAGAACGAAAGAAAGAAAGAAAGAGCGATACAAGGACAGAAAGAGAAAAGGTAGAGATATAGACTCAGTGCAAATGCAAATGCAGATGCAAATAGAAGAAAGAAATTTTTGATATATAGACAAGAAAGGGAAACGAAGTTGATCTTAAAATAATTAAAACTGGTGAGCAAAAATTACCCTCCCCTAGTTCAGGTTATGATGTTACCAGTACATATTGTTATGACCTTTTAAAAAATAAGGAGATAAAAAATATATTCCTCATTTTGTGAAAATAGCTGAGATGTTAAAATGGAAAAGAGAGCATTGTACTTTTTATAAAGTGTACTTAATAGCAAAGCTCTTGAAGTTAATACTTCATCATCGGTGTATGATTTGCTTAAGGTATGTACTTTGAAGTTATGGGTTGGTGTCAGATCGACAAAGACAGAAATGGTAAGTATAAGCTCATGTCGAATTTGCAGGGGACAACGATCGA